AAAACCACCCAAAATAAGGAAACCCTAGGAGATTCGACGAGATAGATTGATGATTATTCTTCAATTATCGAACAAAAGAAAAACAATCAGATGAATCAAACAAGAGAGAATCTCCACGAAAACAAATCAGATCTGGGGAAATCAAGACGAAGAAAACGAAAACCCTAAAAGTCAATTCGAGGCCCTCCTTTCCGCCGATTCACAGAGATGCCGGAAGGTCTTACCGGAAGGCCAATCGGAGAAGGAATCCAGAAGATAACGATCGAAGAGCAAGTCGGGGATCTCTGAAATCCAAGCAAAGACGCGTTTCTTTTACGGCCTTTCGTCGAATTGTCTTATCTCTTCTTCATTAATTTCCTTTTTTAATTTTTTTTTTTAAATTTAATCGATTGCTGGATGGTGTAAGATAATCAACAATTTCCAGCCGTTAGATATTATCAAACTAATCGAGTCCGCTAGATTTGACTAATCGTGGAGAAGAGCACATGCGATTTTTCTACATTATATTAGACGGTGATGATGATGCTACATTAGTTGATCCAACGGTTAATATTTATTTAGACACGTTTAACTTTTCTTCTCGCATGTGATCTTGAACAAGGAAACAAATCTTCATCAACTAATTTGCATAGAAACTTAGTTGACAAAAAACAAGAAATGCCCCCAGAAACGAAAAGAGTAACATATTTATGTCAAGAATAATGGAAAAAACAAATAATTGTAACCCATATATATTGGTTGGGCTCGGTTTAGTCTAGGCCTATCTTGTTTTGGGTTAAAACAAAAATTGTACTTATTAGTTGACCCAATAAAAAACTATCAAAAGAGATTATTATCCCAAATAAAAAAAAATCCGACCTGCCGGAATCGAACCAGCGACCTAAAGATTTGCTGGCACATACTACAGTCTTCCGCTCTACCAACTGAGCTAAGGTCGGATGTTGAATATGTGTTGCAATTTTTAGTTTATTAATGATAAAATTGCAGTCAGTCCCTCAAAATTGGTTGTGTCCGTACACTTTCACTTTCCGATCAAACTCTAAAAAACAAGTCTACGGTCTATCCGTTTCCGGTTTCGCAAGCTCTCGTGCTGCTTTCTTCAGGTGTGTTGTATTTCTCTCTTCTCCTAAATTTTTTATGTATCCACCACTTGGAATTTTCTGGGTATTGATTGTCAAAACAGTACCATCGCCTTTTCGTAAATTTCTTGAGAGGAGATGGATTTTTTATTCGTGGAGCTAAAGCATTGTGAGGTTCTTGTATGAGAATGAGCAACAGATTCCATCACTTCTTCTTGACTCCCTACCTTACAATTTTCGCTAAGAAACATCCGACCGCTGATAACTTTTGAAGGTTGTAATATGTCTGAATGTTCGGTGGTTCGTCTAATTGGGTGTTTGGAGGAAGTTTGTGTTCCTCTGGTGACAATGAGTAGTTTGGTTAGCCTCACAAATTTAGTAATTTGTAAACCTCAAATGTTACTCAAAGTCCAAAGCAACTAAGAACCTTACAAAGCTTAGCTCCCAAGAGAAAACAAGCTACAACAGAATAGCCACTACTGTAAGTCTACCAATGCTTAAGCTTTTATTCATTGCCAATGTTTTCTCAAATTTATGCAACTCTGCCACTATGGCTTTGATTGCATAGGGAGAGATTAGGAACTCTAAAGCAAGCGCTAGATTGTATTGTTCTTGATTGTTGAGTAATAATTAGAGATGTCATCTTTTTATCTTATCAGAGCTAGAGACAGGTTTATAGGAAACAAGTGTTATCTCAGACTAAGTGAAGATCAAACTTTTGAATGGATAGTTATGGTGATTAATCATTTGGAAAGCCGAGTGAAACTCTGCACTGACGAGAGACTCGTAAATTGTAATATCATCTTGTGGCACTATAGTTATCGATTGTGTCTGAATTGGAAGATCTTGATTTAATATTTCTGAATCACTTTTTCTTTGTATGATCTCAAGCTCATGCTGCACTATCAAACTGTCCTCTAAATTGTGAGAAAAACATCTCCCAAGATTTCTTGGAACTACAATGATAAAAAGGCTTCAAGTTCATAAGCGATTAGCCTCCCCATTGGCTGGCCGCTCAGATCCAAAAATGTCGGTTCTCAACTTTTCAGCATTGGAGAAGGCAAAAGAAAACAGAATGCAAAACAGAGTTTAAACACATTTAGAGGACTCGGCAACATCTTGCCTGAGTTAAGGTGCACCATCTGTTAAAGTGATTAGTAGATTGCTCAATCCAGTTTGGTTTGCTCTGGTTATGTCTTTAGCCCAATTACTAACCGGTTTCAACCATGATATGTGGTGCAAAGGATCAAAAATTTCGGTTATTTTCAGTCTTTCTATGCCTTAAAAATCTATACATTTTTCTAATTTTTTGCAGGAGTATTGCCGTACTAGTAATATATATCAATCACTCATTTTACATACTTTTTTCAGATATTCTGTACCAATCTGATATTGTGCACACTCGATCAACATTGACTTCTCCTCTTGATCTTCACCTTAAGCCCACCAGCCATTTGAGCCGTTAAAAGAGGAACAAAAACCGGTCGGTCCTTGTTAACCGGTACAATCTCAAACCGACTCAAAACGGAACCAACGACATACTTCATCTGCATAAACGCCATCTCTTTCCCTACACAAACCCTCGGTCCGGCTTGAAAAACTGGAAACTTGAAAGGACTAATGGGTTTCAAAACCGGTCGTATACTCCCCGGTTCAGAATCAAACCACCGGTTTGGTTCAAACTCTTCCCAATTCTTCCCCCACAGCTTCTCCATCCTCCCCATACCGTAAGGGAAATAAGTAACCTTATCACCTCTCAAGACACGTGTCCCGTCAGGCAAAACGTTGTCGTTTGCAGCATGCTTCGAGTCCCACGACACTGGAGGATAAAGCCTCATGGCTTCACATAAACAAGCTTTCGTGTAACTCATTTCTTTCAATTCTTCAAACCCTAATCCTAAACTTACTAACGGGTCCACTTCCTCTAAAATCTTCTTCTCCACGTCATCGTTTTCGGTCAACAACCAAAACAGCCACGTCATTGCTGCTGACGTCGTATCTCTTCCCGCCATAATAAAACTAATAACCATATCCCTCACCGCTTCGCCGCCGTGTCCGGCGGCTAGAAACCTCGAAAGAAGATCTTGCTTGGCTTCTTCTCCGGTTCCGATCTCAAGACTCTTCTTCTTGGCTCTCACAATCTCAAAGACCAACACGTGTACGGTCCTGATCGCTTCTCTTAACCTCCTCTCGCTTCCCACGTTAAACACACGTTTCACTTTCCAAACAGCGTAAACCGGCTCCGTGGCACGGCGAGCACTAATCTCAGCCGCTGTGTCAAAAGCATGCACAAAAGGATTAACGGGTCGGGTCAAATCCAAACAATCCGGATCCCAACCCAAAGAGACTTTACTAACAACATCGAAAGCAAAACGTTTCAAAACATCTTGAAAATCTACGGTCGTCCCGACATAAGCCGCGGCCGAAAGAACCGGGACTAGACGGGTTTCGACTTCGTCTTTAAGTACCTCGAAAGCGAAACTCCTTAGCGAACGAGTCGAAAACTTGTGGCAAGCGAGTTTACGTTGGGAGCTCCATGAGTGACCATCGACGTTGAAAATACCTTTTCCGAGGAGATCACCGAGGAGATCGGTAAAAGGTTTACCTTTAGGGAAGTTGAAGAAGTTTGTTTTGAGAATGTATTCGACATTTTGAGGGTTTGTTGTGATGATAGTGCGACGGTTTCCGAGGAGAGGGATTGAGATTGTTTGAGTTGGAGAGAGACGGAGGAGTTCGGTGTACCATTGGAGAAGACGGTGACGGTTTTTGTTGAAGGAGAGTATGGAGCCAATGAGTGGATACGATGGTGGTTCATAAGTGGTGGTTTCTAGGGTTTTTTTGGTTGGATATGATGAGAATAAGGAGATTATGATTATAAGAAACGCTAGAATTTAAAAGCTTAGAAGAAATACAATTTGAATTTCCATTTTTCTTGTTTGTGAAAATTTGTGAATGTGAGATTTCAATT